CTACTGAGATTTTCTGTTTCTTATATCAGTTTTGGTAATTTGTCTTTTGAATAGTTTTTCTGTTCCTCTGTCAATCCAATATTTTTCAGGATTGTTTATACTGTGTGTGTGTGTACATGGGAGTACATCTAATCAGTGTATTATGCACTTTTAATTTTTTTTTAACTTGAAAATGGTGTTATGATTGATGTAGTTTTCTGGAATATGCTTTTTTAAGTTAATAACATGTAACAAATTCATATGCATATAGCTTTAAATTTATTCCACTGCTTCTCTGTGTCACAATGTATGTATCTATTAAGTGGGGCACTTGTTTATATATTTTTTCTTTTATTACAGATATCACTGTGTCTTGATGTTTATATTTTTTGATCTTTACAAAAGTCTTGCCATGAATATTCATGTACACGTTCATATTCCTTGTGCACATGTGCTGTGGTTTCTCACGATAATGTTCTTAGGTGTAGAATTATTGGATTATAGTCTATGCTAATGATCAACTATTCAAGATAACGCTCATTGTTTTCTTCTTTTTTGTTTTGTTTTTTGTTGGCTGGCTGGTATGGGGATCTCAACCCTTGACCTCAGTGTTAACCAACACTGCATTGTAACCAACTGACCTAACTGGCCAGCTGCCCCCTGCCCCCCCTCCATTTTTTTAAACAAGTTCTTATCAGGCCATCCCACTGTTTTCTAAAGGGGTTATACCAATTTACACTGACTCCAGGAAATAGCACGAGATCCACTGATCCATGACCTGTCCAAGACTTTTGTAAGGCTTCATTTTGCCAATCAAATGGATACAAAATGGTATCTTCATGTTGTCTTGATTTACATTTTCCTTATTACTAAGGAAGTTGAGCGCCTTATCACATGATTTTTGGCCATTCTGTATTTTCTTCTGTGAAACGTCATGTCAGATAAATGTCTACTTTTCTGTTAATTTGTTTGCCTTTCTCTTTTTGATTTGTAGGGATTCTTTATACATTCCTGATAACTAATCTTTTATCATTTATACTATAGATATATTTCTCTAGTTTTTAATTTTGTCTTTTCACTCTTTTAAGTATCTTTCATTAAATTTCATTACTGTCTAATTTATAAGCCCCCCCTTTTTTATATCAATGCTTTTTTGTCTTGATTAGGAAATCTTGCTTAACCCCAATGTAAGATATTCTTGTTTATTTTATACTAAAAGTTTTAACATTTGATATTTGACCTTTCATTCTTTATTGAACCAAGCTTGATTGTGAGCGTGATGTGAAATATGAATGAGATTTTATTTATTCCATATGTGGGTGTATTAGTCTGTTTGTGTTGCTTACACCAAAATACTTGGAACTGGGTAATTTATAAAGAAAATGAAATGTATTGCTTACAATAGATTTGGAAGGCCAAAGTCCATCTGGTGGTAGTAACAGCGACCCAGGGGTCTTACACTGCAAGATGGTGGAAGCAGAGAGAGCAGCGAGACAGACTCCCCCCTTCTTTTAAAGCCCTCAGAACCAAGCCCCTGACCATTATTTTAAATCTTTTCACTACTGCTTGGTCCTACAACCCAATCACCTCTTCAAGGCTCCACCTTTCAATTACCATAATAGGCTTTCCCACCCTCTTAA